TGCCATGGCACCGGAGGGCCGCGTGAATGGGGTATTGTTCGCCCCGGCGCCCAGCGCCCTGGCCTGACTGTCCTGGACCCACCCAGACCCATCCGCCGTAGAGGAAGGGAGAGACAGAGATGGGGAGAGACAAAGATGGAGAGAGACAGACAGAGCTGTAGATGGGGAAAGAAAGACACTTAGGAACCAAGGGGGAGAGACAGAGACAGAGAGAGACAAAGAGATGGAAGAGACCTGGGAGATGGAGAGAAATGCACCAATGAGGAAGGACCCACAGAGGGGCAGAGGGACAGAACCTATGAGAGGCAGGGCGGGGAATTGAGATGGAAGACGAAGGTCTGGGGTGGGAGCCAACCAATAACCACGGAGCCCACTGTGCCTTGCGCTACGCCTGGTAACAGGACTAGGCAGAGGACCAGGACTCCCAGACAAAGTCAGAGATACTGAGACGGGAGGAGACCCAGCAATAGAGACCCAGCAAGATGGAGGGTCAGAGACACCAGGAAGAGAATGGAGCCAGTGCTCTGAGGGTCCTTCCTCCACTCCCCTTTGGACAACGTGCCTCCTCCCATTGGACACTCTTGGAAGGCACCCCTCTGTCCGGCACACCTCACCCACCACTGACAAGACACCATCCACACAAGGACCTGGTCTTGGGGACACTGCCCCAGACACTCCGAGGCGCTCTCACGGACCCAGTGGCACAGCAGATACACCCACAGACGCCCAGGGACACAGTTAGGGTCCGTCAGACACACCCATACGACAGGGACTCCTACCCCACACCAGAGTGACAAAGCTAGAGGTACGGCCCATAGAAGCACTGTCTCATGCGGACTCTGCCAGACACCTGGTCCCAATCACACATGGCCACACAGCACACAGGCTCACACGCCACAGAACACTGCCATGTGTGGCTAACCAGGCACATGGTGCCCTCTCACACCCGCAATGTCCCTGCATTTGACCCAGAGACTTGGCCTCCTGGCCCCCAGCCCAGACTGGGGGGTCTGGGAGGATGCTGGGTCCGGTTCTCCATGTTTGACAGACATCGGTCACCAGTCCAGGCGGGAAGGGGAAGGAAGGGAGGTGAAGCCCCTCTCCTTCCCCTCAAAGGGTTGAGTCCAGCCAGGTCAGGGCAGTCCCCAACTCCTTCATGTCTGGGTCATCTGGGTCCAAATCTGAACCAAGGGTGTCCCCTGGTGGCCATGTGTGGTCTCTGCATCCATTGCGTGAGGGTGTGGGGGGATGGCAGACAGCCCAGTGGCCTAATGTGAATAGAAGGGTAGAGAGACAGGCCCAGGCTCAGCACCCAGAGCCTAGAGACAGGAAGCCAAGGTCTGGAAGCCAGAACCCAAAACCAGAATTCAGAGCCTGGAATCCAGATCCCAGAATCCAGAATCTGAATCTAAATTCTCAGGTACCAAGAACTGGGGACCCAGAATCTAAAATCCAGGTCCAAATGCCCAGAATCCAAAATCCAAAGGTAGAGATCCTGTCCTCAGAATCTAGAATCCGAGAGCCCTGAATCCAGATACAACAACCGGAGCCTAGAGCCCTCCTTCGAGCCATCCCCTGCCTTCCCTGAGCCCCCAGATTAGAGCGGAGCAGCAGGGGTTGGTGAGGACAGGAACAGGTTACAGTGGCAGGAGAGAGGCCCTGCAGTGACCACACAGAGCCTCTGCCAGCTGCTGCCCTCACAAGCACGCATGCACACGCATACTTCAACAGAATCTTACACACAGGCCACATGCCCAAACATATAGCCAGCCTGTGACCATCAGATGTACAGCACCACACACTCAGATGCACACACACAATCACACACACACAACATCACACATACACCCTGACACACACCATCACCCGAAGACACCTGAACCCACCATTCACTCCTCTCCCAGCACATGGACACACACTCATCTGTGTACCCACACGATCTGAGAGCTGCCCCCCATCACCAGCCATCCCACCGAACTCAGACGCATAGCCACCACACCCAGAAATGCACAAAACCCAGACTCCCAATCCTACTCAGACATGCTCAAAGAATTGTGCAGGCTGGTGCGCATGTACACACACACACACACACACACACACACAACTCCCCTAAGCAGAGAGAAGCTCCACACACACACACACACACACACACACACACATACACAACTCCCCTAAGCAGAGAGAAGCTCCATGCCTTGGCAGCCACACAGCCCCTGGGAACAGGACCCCCGGGACAGGGCTCACTGTGCACCCCCATGCCCACCCCATCCCCCGCCTCCTGGCCGGCTGGCGGGCTTTAATACAGATGCCAAACTCATAATTGTAACTGAGGGTGACAGGGTCACCTTGAGCCCCAGATGCTCGCGCGGTGACAGATGGCGTTGGCAAACCTGATTAGCAGCCCCTGTGCCAGCGCCTGTGGCACCTGCATCCCCGCCCCTCCCCCGCTCCCCCAGCACTCATTACCCACCCATTAATGGTCCTGGGGATGGGGGTGGGGGCCGTTTGGCACTGCCCAGGAGGGGGCAGGGATACTGGGGCCCCCCTGGCACCAAGGTTCCCAGCTGGCTCCCCGGCTGGCAGGAGGTGAGCACAGCTGAAAGGGGGTGGAAGCAGGCGCCTCATATGCCTGCCAGAGGGGTGTCCATGGTGCCAAGGCTGAGCTACCCACTCGGACGCTGCCTGAGGTTTGGCACAGAATCCTGGAGGGAGGCGGGAGAGCACACCCCTCCCCCATGGGCCACTCATGACCCTCCCCCATCTCGGGCCCTTGGAGCAGGGCCTTGGGAGCTGCCTGCCTGGCCTGTTCCCACCCCTCTGTGCTGGCCTGTGGGGTCAGAGGTCATGGGCTCCCACGCCCCACTGGCCCATCTGTTTCCTCGGGTCCCCTCCTCCTGCTCCCCTCACCTGGGGCCTTCCTTCCTGAGGCAGGAAGAGGGCTGAGGGGGGCCCCGGTTGACCCCCCCACCGCCCTGCGCTCCGGGGAGCATTTGGAGGCAACCCTGACAGCACCACATGTCCCTGCGTCTGTGCCAGACGGGCCCATCTGCTAGGGCCCTGGTTCCAGACGCCCAAAGCCCGGCCGCCCTCATCCGCTGCAGACCCTGTGCCCAACTGAGGAGGGAGCACCCCTCATACCCACATTCCACAGGGCCACCCACTTCCAGGGAACTCCGGTTGGAGGAACAAATACACACATATACACACAACTGGGCTCCATCAACCTTTATGGTCCTACTCCGGTTGGAGGAACAAATACACACATATACACACATATACACACACTGGGCTCCATCAACCTTTATGGTCCCGTAGATGCCACCCTGGGCGTGGGGCTGGTGGAGATTGGGAGGGGCAGCTGGAGCTTGTGGGTTCTGCCTCTGACTTGGGGAACCCAGGTGTCCCCCTGTAGCTACCTCTGCTTTCCTGCCTGGGTTTCTTGGGGTCCCTAGGACAGGGTCGTCACTGTGTCTCCTGGGTGGGGTCATCCGTTCTCCCTGCATTTGGGGGTGTGTCTTTGACTTATTCTGTGAGAGGAGGTCCAGTCTGGGGTTCAAATGCTGGCTCTGCCATGTCATGTTGTATGACCCTGAGCAAGTGTCTTTGCCTCTTGAGGCCTCAGTTTCCTTCCCTGTAAAATGGGGTGATGCCTCTATGCTATTGGGCAGCTCTGAGGGTGACTCAAGTAAGTACCTGGCAAATGCTTAGAGCTGGGCCTGGCCAACAGTGAGTGCTCAGTAGCGTGTGCTGTGACTGTGAGTGGTCTGCCGCTACGGGGCTGTCTGGTATTCACGGGAGCAGGGTGAGGACTCAGGAGACCATCTGGCTTTCCCTGCTTCCCTGGTCTCTGACCCGGGGACATTCTCCAGGTCGGTGTCTTTCCGACTCCCACATCTCTCCGAGGTGCGTGCGTCTGTGTCAGTCCGTGATGCTCAGCTCAGGCCTTCAGGCTACACTGACACCTCTCGACCAGCACTGTGTATGTCTTCACCCGCCGACGAGAGGCTGGGCTGCCCACCCGGCACCACAGGAACACGGGTGTCCAGTGCCTTCGAGCGGGCACACAGCTGTTGCAGAGGACGAACGGGGCGAGGTCCACACCAGGGACGTAGAGCGAGGAGCAGTGGCCAAAGCAGAGGTGATTACGGAGGCGCTTAGCCATGCATCCCGGCTGGGAGAGCACCTGGGGCCAGAGACAGGGAGACAGGAGGCCGGAGTAATGAGAATAACCCCCAATCCACTTCCACCCCACCTTGAGAGGCATGTGTCCGGGCTCAAATCCTGACTCTGCCATTGCTGTGTGACTTGAGGTAAGTTACTCAACCTCTCTGGGCCTCAGTTTCTTCACCTATGAAATCATCAAAGTTCAACCAGGAAAAAAAGAAACTACTCTAGGCCTGTGGTCGGCAAACTGTGGCTCTCGAGCCACATGCGGCTCTTTGGCCCCTTGAGTGTGGCTCTTCCTAAGCCTTAGGAGTACCCTAATTAAGTTAATAACAATGTACCTCCCTGTATAGTTTAAGTTTAAAAAATTTGGCTCTCAAAAGAAATTTCAATCATTGTACTGTTGATATTTGGCTCTGTTGACTAATGAGTTTGCCGACCACTGCTTGAGCCTATAACCTGGCACACAGTCAGTTCAATAAATGTTAGTTCCTCCTATGATCCCCTCCAACTAAGTGGATCTATCAATTCACCCCCTGTTCATGGCCCTTCTCTGTTTAAATCATGCACTCCTGCCTCTGTCCCTCTCCCCACAACTTCATCTCCCCACCTTCCCCCTCTGCCCCAGTGACCCCACCCTCTTGCTTGGAGTTACAAAGAAATCAGCAGTTAAGGCAGAACTTGGTACACCTGGCTTCAGAGCCTGGGCCATAAACAACACAGGGCATGAATGCCTACAGCCATTATGGAGCACCAACTGAATGCACTGTGAGTGCTGCCCACACCCCTCTCATTCAGGCTGCCCCAAAGTGCTCAGCAGGCAGGTACGACTATTGTTCATCATTTAACAAGCACTGAGCTGCTGCTGTGTGCCTGGCTCTGCTCTAGAGCTTAGGGATGGAAATACAGAGTGAATAAGGCATAAAAATTCCTGCCCTGGTGGAATAGACATTCTACTGAGGAAGACAGATAATAAATGCAATTACAGAATCAATTTCACTTTTTAGGGGATGATGTGTACTACAGTGAGAAATAAAGCAGAAAAGAGGAAAATGGGGTGGGAGGTACTGCATTTCTAAAAAATATTTTTTTATTGATTTCAGAGAAAAAGGGAGAGATAGAAACATCAATGATGAGAGAGAATCATTGATTGGCTGCCTCCTGCACCCCCTACCGGGGATCAAGCCCACAACCAGGCATGTGCCCTGCTTGGGAATCGAACCGTGACTTCCTGGTTCATAGGTTGATGCTCAACCACTGCGCCACACCAGCCTGGCTGCTGCATTTTTAAATGTTTGAGTAAAAACCTGAAGGAGGTGAAAGAAGGAGCCACAGAATGTCAGGATGGGGGGAGGTGCTAGAGGCAAAGGAACAACCAGTGCTATATATTGTTGGTGTGTCTGGGGAAAAGGAGGCAGGGGTGGCAGGAATAAAGTGGGCAGGGGGGAATGGGAGGAGGTGAGAGCAGAGAGAGGACAGGCAAACAGAGCAGGGCCTTGTGGGCTGTGGGGAAAATTTGGGCTTTTGCTCTGGGTGAGGTGGGAGCCATAGAGGGTTCTGAGTGTAGAAGGGACATAATCTGACTCAGAAGCTCACAGGTGCCTCTGGCCATTAAATGGAAAAATAGACTTGGGGGACAGGGTGGTGATTGCAGAAGCTGGCAGAGGGGCAACCCCCATTTCATAAGGGAGGGAACTGACGATCAGAGACAGGTAAAGGGTACAGGGCTCGATTCCAAATCTGGCACCACAGTCATGCTCTCTGTCAACGCTGAGACTCAGCCCTCTCCTTCTCCCACCACATACTCACCTGAGTGAAGGGCACAGCCTTACACGTCTCCTGGGCTACTTCCTGTGGGTCCAGTGGGAGAGACATGGTGGTGGCCACCTCCTGCTCATGCTGCAGCCCACCTAGCCCCATACGCCTGGTTTTCTGCAGGTCCAAGAAGGCCTTCCAGCTGCTGAGAGCAGAAGATGGCACTGGGGAGGCCTGGGTCCCTTGGCCCAGAGATCGGGTCTGATTTGTGGTAGCCCAGGGCTGGGGTGGGGAACCCTGGGGTCCAGGCCTCCCCAAGCCTGTGGGTAGGCAGGCTACACTGAGCAGGCTCAGAACTGTGGTCAGCTGGCTGAGGAGCATCTGTCTGTCTGTCTGGGACTGGGCTCAGGGTCCTGGGCAGTTGACCCTGCTGTCTGGTGAGTGAAGTCTGTACCCACCAGACCCACTTTTAATGGCCTGCCCCCCACCTGGGCAGCCTGGGAGGTGCCTCTGCAAACTCCAGAGTAAACCCAGACCTGCTAGGTTCCCACCCCTCCCCCCAGCATGGCAGGGGACGTGGGGCTGGGACTGCTGGCATGTGGGCTGGGGAAGGAGGAAAGGCAAGTCTAGAGGGGCTTGGGGCACAATGCCAGAGTCCCTGAGGGCTCTGTACCTGGTTTCAGGCCCCATTCATCCATTTAGCAAAACCAGACTTTGCAGTTAAGCTACTCAGGTTTCAATTACCGCATTGCAACTTCCTAGCTGTGCAACCTTGGCCAAGTCCCTTAACCACTCTGGGCCTCAGCTTCCTCCTCTGAAGTATGAAGATAATAACCATCCCTACCTGGTAGGGCTGTTCTGAGGACTGAACAGATAATATGTAAGGAGTTTAAACTAGAAGCTGGTACACAGTACCACCATGAGTAAGCTATGATTAACATTATTGCTGTTGGTTTTCCTTTAGCACCTGTTAGAGGCCACGCATAATTCTGAGCCCTGGGGATACAGGTGGACAAAACAGAAAATGGGTCCTCCCTGCCTTACGTTGTAATGCAGAAAACAGACAATACAAGATAAATAAGATTATTTCAGATTCTTAAATATTAAGAAGATATTAAAAAGGGATGTGCCTTGCCCAGCCGGTGTGGCTCAGTGGTTGAGCATGGACCTACGAACCAGGAGGTCAAGGTTCAATTCCCGGTCAGGGCACATGCCCAGAGGCAGCCTATCCATGATTTTCTCTCATCATTGATGTTTCTGTCTCTCCCTCTCCCTTCCTCTCTCTGAAACAATATATATATATAAATGTTTTTAAATTAAAAGGGCTGTCCCTTGAAGGGAGAGGGGCTTCTGCCCCCAGGGTGGTCAGGGAAGGCCTTCTTGAAGAGGTGACATTTTTGCAGAGCCCTGAGATAGTGTCACAGGCAGAGCAAACAGCCTGGTGGGGAGTGGAAGCTGGAGTACTTGAAGCACAGAGGAATGGGAGTCCCAGGCTTTGGGGCCCCGAGAGCTCCGGGAGGTCCCGGCCGGCCCTGGCACCTCTGCGGCCCCCATCTCGCACCCAGGTGAGGCTCTGCAGGCTGCGGGGCCGTGGGAAGCAGCAGGGCGGGTCCTTCCCGCGACCCAAGGTGTGCGCAGGAGATGCGGCCGGCTCGCCCTCTGGCGGCAGCTCTTGGGACTGCGGGCCCGGCTCTTGGGACTTGCCTCCCTCTACATCCGAGCTCCTGAGCTTTCCGCAACCAATCCCACTGCTGTCCTCTAGACCAGCGGACGCCAACCTTTCGGACCTCACGGACCACCAGTGGTCGGCGGACCACCGGTTGGCGACCGCTGCGTAGACCCAGCTCCATCCTGCTAGGACCTAAGGCCCCAAACTTTGGAGCATCCTTGACCCCTTACTTTCTCTGACCCCACCCCCTCCCTAATATGATATGACAGCAAGTCCTGTCCGCTTCAAAATCTACCCAGAATCCACCCACTTCTCACTCCCTCCTCCGTCCCCCACCTGGACACGGCCCCTATTATCTCCCACCTGGCCCAGTAGGTCCCTTCACCCCGGTCCCCCAGGTCCCGCCCCCAAAGCCTGTACCCCCACCACCGCTGCCAGAGGGTGCCCTAAGTCCAGGCACGTCCCTCTTCTGCTCAGGACCCCCCAGGGCTCCCCACCTCACCCGGAGTAACAGCCAAAGTTCTCACCGCAGCCCACCAGGGCTCGCACTGTCTGCTCTCATAACCTGCCCACTCTCGTCTCTCCCCCTCAATCCACACGGGCCTCCTCGCTGTTCCCCCGACCCACCAGGCAAAAATATTGCACATCTGTACAGGGCTGTGCACGCTCTTATAGTTTCAACATGGAAAGATCTCCACAAAAAATGAAGTTAAAAATTTCTCAGAACAAGGTATATATTATGCCCTGACCTTTTCGGGGAGAGTGATAAGACTTTACAGCTACAGTTTACTTGTATTTGAATACTGAAAAAAAGCAGCAGGATTTCCCTGCTGGAGAAGGACATGAAAATGAGTGGATAAGAAGAGGGGTTGAGGAGGGAAACTTCACTTTAGAGTTTAAATATTGTTTTAACCATTAAAAGAAACTTTGGCGTGCAGGAGGCAACCAATCGATGTGTTTCTCTCACATCAAGGTTTCTCTCTGTCTTTCCCTCTCTTCTACTCTCCCTAAAAATCAATGGAAGAATATCCTCGGGTGAGGATTAACAACAAAAAAGAAACAAAAAGAAACTTTGAAAAAGGGAAAGCCCAGCTGGTGTGGCTCAGTGGTTGAGCACGGACCTATGAACCAGAAGGGATCCCAGGTTAGGGGTTCCTGCCGGGTTGATCCCTGGTAGGGGGCATGCAGGAGTCAACTGATCAATGAATCTCTCATCACTGATGTTTCTCTCTCTCCCCCCATTCCTCTCTGATATATATATATATATATAATCTTTAAAAAAAAGAAAAAAGAAAAATGCCCTAGCCGGTTGCTCAGTGGTTACAGCGTTGGCCCATCCACCAAAGGGTCTTGAGTTCAATTCCCAGTCAAGGATATGGGTCACATCGATGTTTCTCTGTTCTTGCTCTCTGTGTTCCCTCCCTCCCTCCCGCTTCCATTGTCTCTAAAAAGCAATGGAAAAAATATCCTCCAGTGAGGGTTAACAAAAAAAAGGGTGGGCAGGGGCGAAAAGGACAAATGAAAGCAATTCATGCCTTTATTCTGCCCCTTGCTCTTTTTAAAAAAATTGTTATTGATTTTTTTGTTATTGATTTTAGAGAGGGGGGGGGGAACCATAAATTTGTTGTTCCACTTATTTATGCACTCATTAGTTGCTTCTTATATATGCCCTAACCGAATATCAAACCCGCAACCCTGACATATGGGAGGACACGCTAACCAACTGAACTGCCTGGCAGAGCTGCCTCTTGCTCTTTAAGTGAAGTATTGTGGGCATTCAAATAAGTGTAGACAAAAATGTAACAAACAGCCCTGGCCCGTATGGCTCAGTTGTTTGGAGTGTCTCCCGGTGCACTGAAGGGTCCATTCCTGGTCAGGGCACATGCCTAGATTTTGGGTTTGATCCCCAATTGGGGCACATATGGGAGGTAACTGATCGATGTTTCTCTCTCACATCAATGTTTCTCTCTCTCTCTCTTTTCCTCCCTCTTTCTAGAATCAATGAAAAACATATCCTAAGGAAGGACTTTTATATACATAAAATAACAAAACCCACTGTAATCATTACCACAATTAAAAAATAAAGTCTAGCCCAGCGGTGTGGCTCAGTGCTTGAGCATCCAACTATGAACCAGGAGGTCGAGGGTTCTATTCCCAGTCAGGGCACATGCCCAGGTTGCAGGCTCAATCCCAGCTAAAGATAAAATAAAAATTTTAATTAAAATGTTAAATTTCTAAACAGTTATTTAAAACAATCTTATTTTTAATTCAACCTTTTAAAAAATTTAAAGTTCAGCCGAGACCGGTTTGGCTCAGTGGATAGAGCATCGGCCTGCGGACTGAAAGGTCCCAGGTTCGATTCCGGTCAAGGGCATGTACCTTGGTTGTGGGCACATCCCCAGTAGGAGGTGTGCAGGAGGCAGCTAATCGATGTTTGTCTCTCATCGATGTCTCTAACTCTCTATCCCTCTCCCTTCCTCTCTGTAAAAAATCAATAAAATATATTTTTTTAAAAAAAGAAAGAAAGAAAAGATTACAGATATGAGCCCTGGCCAGGGTGGTTCAGTTAGTTGAGTGTCGTCCCCTGCATTGAAAGATCGCTGGTTTGATTCCAGGTCAGGGCACATATACAAGTTTTGGGTTCGATCCCTGGTCGAGGAGCATACAGAGGCAGCCGATCAATGTTTTTCTCACATCAATGTTTCTCTCTCTCTCTCCCCCCCCCTTCCTCTCTTGCTGAAAGAAAAAATCAATAAAAACATACTAATAAAATAAAAGATTACAGATATGAAAGAAACTTGCTCTATACTTATGCCTAATTCCTGGATTTGCCCATTGTAATCCCCATGGTTGTATTCATAGTTTTACTACACATATATCCATTCACAAAAGATACATAAAATTGTTTTGTGTGTTTTAAACTTAATATGCATGGCATCATAATATATAGATTCTTTTAACTTTCACCAGTACTCCATTTCGTATTCCACCCTTTTCACTGATAAAGAATATTCTACTGCATATACATACCCGAAATTTATTTCTCCATTATCCAAATTTTAACCATCACATTCCTGCAAAGAACATTTGAAACATGACTCTTCTTCACCTGGCTTTTCACACGTACTCCCTATCAGTGGTTCACATTCCTGGCTGCACATTCAAGTCACTTTTAAGTGGGAAATTGTTGTCCAGACCCTGCTCTGGATCAATCATGCTGGAATCTTTGGGGATGGGCCCCATACACTAATGTTTTTAAAAAGCACCCCAGGGCTGCTTTGAACCCCTGGACTATATCGTTATATACAGCAATAGGTCTCAGGTTTGAGCCTGCATCAGTGTCAGCCGGAGGGCTCCCACACAGAGGGCCCCACCCATAGAGTATCTGATTCGGTGTTGGAGCCTGAGAACTTGCATTTCTAACAAATTCCCAGGTGATGTTGATGCTACTGGCCAGGGAACCACACTTTAAGAACCAGGACGTAAAGAGTGCCCTTATTCTTTTTGAACATCTGCACAGTATTCCATCCTATGATATTCAGTCATTTCTTTAACAAGTCCTCTATTCTCGGATATTTCGGTTCTTTTCCATCTTTGGATACAAGAAAAACAATTCCCTACAATGGAACATCATTCAGCTATAAAAACCAATGAAGTACTGCATTAATTTGCTAGGGCTGCCATAATAAAGTACCTAGGGGGCTTTACCAACATAAATTGATTGTCTCATGGCTCTGGAGGCTAGAAGTGCAAGATCAAGGTGTCAGCAAGGTTGGTTTCTTCTGAGGCCTCTCTCCTTGGCTTGTAGATGGTCATCTTCGCTCTGTATCTTTGCACCCTAATGACCTCATTTTAATTAAATTACTTCTTTAAAGACCCTATTTCTAAATATGGTCATACACCGAGGTTAACACTGAGGGTTAGCACCTTAACACATGAATTCTGAGGGGATACAACTCAGTTCATAACAAGTACTGATATATGTTAGTTACCATATGGATGAACCTCAAAAACATGCTAAGTAAAAGAATCTAGACACAAATAGTCACATATTGTATGACTCCATTTATATGAAACTTCCAAAATAGGCAATTCCATAGAAATGGAAAGTAGATTAGTGGTTGCCAAGGACTAAAGGGAGGGGAGAACTGGAGTGACTGCTAATGGGTATGGAGTTTCCTTTTTGGGTGATGAAAATGTTCCAGAATTAGATACAAGTGGTGGTGGCACAACATTGTGAATGTACTAAATGGCACTGAAGTTTTCACTTTAAAATGATTAAATTTTAAATATATTTTTATTGATTTCAGAGAGGAAGGGGGAGAGAGAAAGAGAGAGAGAGAGAGAGAGAGAGAGAGAGAGAGAGAGAAATATCAATGATGAGAATGACTGATCGGCTGCCTTCTGCACGATTCTCATCATTGATGTTACTCTCTCTCTCTCCCCCAACAGGCATGTGCCCTGACTGTGAATCGAACTGTGACCTCTTGATTCATGAGTTGATGCTCAACCACTGAGTAACACTGGCCAGGCTAAAATGATTAATTTTATGTTGTGTGAAGTTTACCTCAATTTAAGGGTTGCCCTCAGAAGCCCCTCTCCCATGACCATTTGGTACTGACTATGTGCCCAGTGCTGGCCAGCATCTGAAACTCACTCCTGGCTGTTTTGACCTCAGAGTGCCTTCTCTTAATCTCTAGGCTGATGTTTCTCAACATGATTCCAAATTTCCTGACCTGGGAGGAATCTGCAGTTCAGAAGTGCCACGCCTGACTGTCCACCGGCCCCATTCCAGGCACTTTCTTCCTTTTTCACCTCCACTATAATTAGTGTGTATCTCACCCAAAGTCTGTGAGCTGTTTGAGGTGAGGGACCATCTCTACCTCATTTCCTGAATCTTCCAAGATCCAAAAATTACAGGAAGTGATCACCCAGTGAAACCTGAATGACAAGAAAAAGCCCATCAGTAAAGATCCTGGGAGAAAATGGAGAAAATTCTAGGTCTGGTAATAGCAAAGGTAATTAATGCACAGTCTCAGGGACCACATGGTGACATGCCCCTTCTATTTCCTAATGGGTCTTCCTGTTCCTACATGTTGACCCACTCAATGTCTTTTCAGTTTAGCGACCAGAGGAGAATCACAAATCACATCCATCACTCCTCTTCTCAAAGCCCTCCCATGGCTCCCCATTGTCCTTAGAATAAAAGTAGAAACCCTCATCATGTCCTCTAATGCCTGCATGGCTGGCCCCTGCCTGATGCACTTACCTGTCCTCCACCCTCAATTTGCTTCATTCACTGGATCTCAACCACAGATCTCAACCACATCTGTCCCTCAGGAAACCCTGGGGAAAGACTTAGATTTGTTGAGAACTCTAGGAAAACTTCCCCATGATACAAGCTCACTGCAGCATCATTTCCGCAATCAAAAACAAACAATTTGGAAACAAATGTCCATCAAAACATCCTGATGGAATGAACAATTATAGTTTAGTCATACCACAGACAATATCAAGCAGAGTTTGTTGTTGTTTTTTTTCAAACTTTTTTTCCCCCACCACTAAGCACAGTAAGAAATACATTTTATTTACAGGTCTTGACAAAGAGACCTTGACAATCCTTTGATTGACATGGTCTTTGACCCCTCCCCTTGAACTGAGACAACCTTTGTGACTGGCTTGACCAATATAATACAGTACAACAAAAATGATGTCATGTGACTTCCAAAATGCCTGCTTTTCAGCCTTGTTCATTTGGGACCCAGCTGCCATGTTGTGAGGAAGCTCAAACTGGCCCATATGAAGAGGCCGCTGTATAGATATTCCAGCTGACAGCCCAGCTGAGGCTCCAGCCAGCATCAATCATGAGACATGAATGAACGAAGATTCCTTCTGATGATTCTGGAGGACTGGCATCTAGACACTCAACTTTGAATTCTTCCCAGCTGGGGCTACAGACAGCAAGGAGCAGAGATAAACCATCCCCACTGTGCCCTGCCTAAATTCCTGATCCACATAATTCATGAGCATACTAAAAACGGTTATTTAGGGAAGGTTAGCACGTAATTGCAACTACAATACTAGTATATACATCCATGTATATATGACAGAAATAAAAGTTTTACCAAACAATACTTACCCTTACTACATGTGATACAATCTGATATTTTTATTCCATTTTTCCATTAAATAATCACCGTACACCCATGTTCATAGCAGCATTATTCATAATCGATAAAAGAAAGTAGAAGCAGCTCATATGTACATCAGTGAATGAATGGATAAACAAAATGTAGTAAATATATATAATATTATTCAGCCTTAAAAAGAAAGGACATTCTGAAACATACTATAATGTGGATAAACTTGAGGACATTATGCTAAGTAAAATAAGCCAGTCATAGATGAACAAATATTGTATGATTCCACTTATATGAGGTCCCTAGAGGAGTTAAATTCATAGAGACCGAAGTAGAATAGTGGGTGTCAGGGGCTAAGGAAAGGGAGAATGGGGAGTTAGTGTTTAATGGGGATGGAGTTTCTGTTTTGTAAGATGGCAAAGTCCTGGTGGGAATGCAGACTGGTACAGCCACTGTGGAAAACAGTATGGAGTTTCCTCAAAAAACTAAAAATGGAACTC